GGGCGGAGAGGGAGGTGGGAGGGGGGACCGGGATGGGGAATACATGTAAATCCATGGCTAATTCATTTCAATGTATGACAAAAACCACTGCAATCTTGTAAAGTAATTAGCCTCCAACAAATAAAAATAAATGGAAGAAAAAAAAAAAAAAAGAATTTGACTCTTTTGTTGGTCAAGCTGGTTACCCCTTTCTTCTACATTCTTGTTGCTATTTCTTCTATTCTCTGTGGCTATTGCCTCCTTAAACCCTTTTTAAAATCATTTCAGAAGAGTTTCAAGAGGGATTAGGCATATTTGTGTGCTCAATCTATCATCTTTAACCAGAAGCTTATGAAAATATACACTTAATGAGTGTTTTATATAATTAAGATGCTTTGCAATGTATTCTGTACATTTATTCCCATTTCCTTAAGTGTTTAGCTTAAGCATTTTAGCTTTTGTAAAAATGTATAGACAGCTTTGCTTTTATGCTATATTTTCAGTTTATATCTATTATTTATTTGATACAGAGTCCCAGGTCAGGAAGACCAGCCTCCAAATACTGTGTTCCTATGAGAAAGTACAGTTCGTTTGTGATATTCTGTTTCATGGCATTGTTTACATACTTTAAAAAGGAAGGGGGAAAAAAAAGGAAGACTATCTCAGATAATTTTATCAGAAAATTACTTTTCTGTGATAGCTTTTAGTTTAGTGTTTTTTTATATTATGTTACCAAATAAAAGAATGAAAGGAAAAGCTGGGGGGAAATTGTCTAAAATTTAGCTAACTAAAGGTTATATTTAGATGATGGGATTATGGGTAGTTTTCCTTTTTAACTTTGACCTATTGTACAGTTGTGTGTATTGACATATGATTTTCATGATAAAAATAAAAATTCAGTTAAGACAGCACGGAAAACATTTTTCAGATTTTCTGTATAGCTTAGTTCTGTATCTTTGGATTAGAATCTTGATATGGGAATACATCTTTGATGGGATCATGTCAGTCAATAAGAAATCCAATTTGATTTAAAGAAATTTTATTATAGACAACGTTCCATGAATTCATCTCTTCATTAAAGTCAAGCATGCCAGCATTTAAACCAATATTTTTTCTCTTCCTTTATTTTTCCTGTAAAGCTAAAACTGAAGCCTTTTAAATGTTACTTATAGTTAGACAAGAGATTTAAAAGGGAAACATTCTTGTTATAAAAAGTCTATTTGATGTTAAGCAACATCATAAATTCCTTGGGTCATTTTTTCCATGAATGTTTTTAATATACCATCCGTGTATTTTCTTCCTTCTAGCCAATACAAGAGTTGCGGGAAGTTGTCCTTAATATTTTGCAAGACCAAAACAGAACCACAGAAGGTACTGCTATTTTGTATTTAAATTCATTCCCTCTAGTTACTCAAGCAAAAGTCACTGAGGAACACATTTAGGGAAAGAAGAATTTTAAGTACACTGAAATGCCTCTTGCTTCTTGATTTCCCTGGTGTGGACCTTTCAGCTTTCATTATCTGCTGATTGATTTCTATTATTACAAGTAAATATACTGCTCCAACCCCAAACAAAGGTTTCCCACCAGAGCATCCTCGACCAGGGTGACTTGCTTCCTTGGAAAGAAGACAAGAGGCTCTTTACCAGGAGAGACTGAGCCAGAAAGGAGAGGTACTTTAGTTTAAGTTATGTGTTTAATTGTTACATGCCCACCAACCTGGATACATCCAAATTCATGTTCTATCTTTAAAACATAGCCATCTCAAGAATCATTTCACATAGTTCACCATTGCTGTCATTGGCCAAAACCTTCAAAGAATTCTTCTATGAAAAATGTGCCAAATAAAGTGAGTGGCACATTATATATACAATATACTACAATATAATTACAATTATATATAATTATATTTGTGATATGAACAGGGTTGGGGGGAAGACACCTTGAGAAAATAAAATGGATTACTCTTATAATCTTAAAAGGTGACAAATCTTTTTCCATTAAGAGTAGATTGAACTTTGGGGAACAATCAAGCCATGTGGAATTACATCCAACTAACCCATTACTTTTAGGAATAAGGTTGTAGTATATATATACTCAATGGTACTCTTACTGAGAATGATGCTACAATTCAGATATTTGTTTATAATATATGGCAGTGTTCTTTAAAGGATTAAAAAAAGAGAGACAGGAATTCATGCCTTTTTCCACCTGTTGGCTTCTCTTGGGGTCTCAGCCTCCAGCCATAGTATATCTATCTGTCTCAGTCAAATTTCCTTCCCTTCATTTTGGTTGCTATGGTGCTTAGGCTATGATGCACATTGTGTTAACACAAGACATTTACACCTACATCCAAGGTGAGAGCCATATGGTCATCCCTGGGTCCAAGGGGACCAGAAGGTCAAGTGGGTTAACCCTAATGAGTTAGGAGAATTGACCCAAGGTGTGGAATGAGGGCACGAGGCCAAGCTAGTCACTAGGGGAGCTCCCTCAAGAGTGAATAAGAGACTGGGGATGTATTCAGAATATTGAAAGGGTAGCAGGGATCCATTCTCACAGGCCCAAAGGCTGTGTGGAGGACTGGTTAGGAGGAAGCTTAATGCAGCAGCATATTACTACAAGGCTTAGTGGGAAAAACTAGTTGTAAGTCCACTCCAAATCAGTTACTCTTTATTTAACATATGGAATCCATAAGGATCACTGAGAAATCATGGAGATATTCCTGTTTCACTGTATTGATTTTTTTAGCTTCAGTATTAAATTGCTAAGTCTTTCCTTTTGACCTTATATACATAGGAATTATCTCTAACTCCTTAGTTGCTGAAACTAATATAACATCAGTAGAAGAGCTGGCCAAGAAGACAGAATCTGGAGCATCTTGCCTTTACCCAAAAGAGAGCGAACAGATGTCAGTAACACCCCAAATAACAAAGTCAGAACAGGATGGTCATCCTGGTATCAAATTACAGATCGCCCCAATCCCTCGGTAAGCACACTGTAAAGCTTTTGTGTTCGCAGGTCTAAATTAAGTCCAATTGTCAGCTTCTTCTCTGAAGATCCGTAATACCAGCAGATTAGTGATATGAATACTCCCTGCCTCATATGAGGACTAGGTGATCTAATCCATCTTTGGTGTTAAGGGAAAGAGGGGAAGGGGAGGGGTGGAACCCATGCCAGGGAGAAAGTCCTTTCTCTATACACACCCTACCCCACCACAGCACCTCCAAGGAGATCTGACCTTCCTGTGAGGAAGGAGCTGCCAGACTCAGGAGGGGTGTTGGAGTGGAGTCACCCCTTCCTCCTGAAATCGGTCCTCCCCCTTCACCATCTTTTGTCCTGCAATGGCAGATTCCACCCACCTTTCCTGGGGGTCAGGAGTGGGGGTACTGCACAAATTGCTAAGCAAGGGCAACCTCTGGAGCTATGGGAAGGAAGGGGCCGTGAATAGCCTATAAGAACAAGGAGGGCGATCAGGACTGTGCTAGTTAGAGGCTGCTCTGTATCAAGTGTTTGGTTTTGAAACAAGTGGAAGTTTAAGACAGAATGTGTAATAATTTAAGGAACTGTGTCAGGGTATCAATGTCATTGTTCGTGCTCTTGAAAGGAAAATTTCAAACAAAAGCACCAAGACCACAGTTCTTTGTCTTACTTTCCTGGGGAGCACAGGTGAGCTTTTTCCGCTCTAAACACCTCTCTCAGATTTGTCATTTCCCCACTATACTCCGCTCCTGGGTGGATGAAGTTAAGCTGCTGATGTGAAAGCCACCTCTCACTGGCTCGGGAATTTTTAGGAGCATTTTCAGCAGACTGGCCATGAGTTTTATAAGACTAAATGTAATCTGTGATTTTGTTTCCTGTGGCCAGGATTCACTCCGTGGAAAGTCTCTGCAGCTTATCTTTCAGGCTATTATAGGAATGCATTAAAGCCCTTACCAGGAAGATGCCCAATTTGCTCCAGTCTCCATCTGTGGTTTGGTCCACCATCTTAAAAGATGTTTTTGGATAATTTACTCTCAAAACTAGAAAGTGTCTTGAATTCTTTAGTCCAGCCTCTTTTGGTGTTAGGCCCAATTTCCCCAAAGGATGTCAACTCTGTGAAATTGTTGACTTGACTCTGCCAAGTAGTTGACTTCAAACAAAACCACACTTAGCACTTCATTCAAAGAAATCCCCCTGCTGACACCATCTGACAACAGATGGACTCCACCCAGTTCATTCTAACATTCAGGGAACGTCCGTCTTAGGATAAGAGCTGCCCTAGACACATCTCTTGTATCAGCCAACGTTGAGATTCTCTCATGTTTTTTTAGAGAATAAGAAAAAAATAATAAGTAGAATTTTGAAAGGAGTTACAAGGTTTTGAATGCACCTCTTGCTCTCTTAGGATAAATGGGATGCCAGAGGTGCAGGACATGAAGCTGATCACACCCGTGAGGCGTTCGGCCAGGATCGAACGAGCTGTGTCCCGCTACCCGGAAATGCTGCAGGAACACGACCTTGTGGTGGCTTCTCTCAACGAGCTCTTAGAAGTGGAAGAGACCGAGTGCTTTATATTCCGCAAAAATGAGGCTTTGCCTGTAACGTTAGGGTTTCAAGTCCCTGAATCATAATTTCTTGATGCTTTGTTTTTTAAGAGACATTTCAGAGCCTCCATGAGACAAGAAATGCACTTACCCAGGTGACCTGGGAGAAACTGTACAATGGAGAGGCATTGTGGATGCAGGACATGGGCCCCTGGAACTTGAAAAGTAACTCACCGGGACTGACTCTCAAATTTTATATCCCTACAGGAAAGTCTAGTTTATTTAAGACTAGAGTTGGCCACAGTTTTACAGCATACATAAATTTCCAACTTTTGAAAATTAATTTATCCCACAAGTACAGAAAATTTTGTAATTTTATTGACCTACTTTAATCCCACCATAGTTACTTTTTATATCAGGAGGTCAGATCCACAATACGATAAACTTTCCTTCCAACATCCACCCTAGCAGAGAGGGCATGTCCTCGCAGCCTGAAAGACCAGAGCGTAGACACTGGCCTTCCCCACTTAGATGGAATGTAACCCACCATCTAGTCAAATGCCCTCATTTAGCTGATGAGTTTACACCAGCCGTGCCTTGGCTTAGAGGTCACAAATAACTTTTCTGTGTGATCTTTGACTTCCCTCACAAATCCCTGGAGATGAGGGGTAATTCCCATCCTCTCTGTGCCTGGTTCCTATAATGATACACAATCCTAAATTGGGGTGGTCATTAAGCTTTTTATATTCAAACCTAGTTTGCATTTATTATTCAGAAATGCTTCAGAAAAAAGCAAAAGGGAGTAGCAGAGAGCAGTGGGGAGAGGATACTTGCCTCTTCAGTTCTATGCTCTGTAGGGGACATCTGGCCTGAGAAGACCACCTAAGCCCCAGAAACTCCCCATTCACCTTTCCCAGTCAGAATTATAATGTAAATATATTGTATAAAAGGACCTAGTTGATGTATTTTAGATTTCAGTTTTTTTGATATTTATATTATCTTAAAAAAAATTAACCTTTGTTCATTCCTGCTTATTTATCTTATTTATTACAGAAAACTGTGATGGTAGCTTGGCCTAGAGAATTAGGGGTATGTCTGTGGAAACACAGGCTTCTCAGGTAGCTCAGTGGTAAAGAATCTGCCTGACAAGTAGGAGACCTGGGTTCAATCCCTGAGTCAAGAAGATCCCCTGGAGAAGGAAATGGCAACACACTCCAATATTCTTGCCTGGGGAATCCCATGGACAATGGAGCCTGGCGGGCTACAGTCCATGAGGACCCAAACAGTCAGACACAGCTTAGCGACTGAATAACAACAACTGGGAAACACCAGTAGGCCTCACAGGGAACACCCACTACCCGGGAGAACTCACCTTGATCTGACCTCCAGCCTCACCCAGGGTTCGGATGTTCCCACTGTGAGGCAAGCAGAGCCATCTCTACGATTTATAAAAACAAGATTCTAAAACTGAGCTATAAAACCCTGAAGATAATAGACTAACTCTCAATGAGAAATAGACTTTCACCACAATGAAAATGCAGGAATCCATGCAGCCAGCCCTTTTCTCCCCTTATAGACAGACTCAATTCATCTGTGAAGCCAAATAATGCTTAGAAGGCACAGAAGCTGAAAATCGGACTGGGAGTAATCAAATATTCAGAATCAGCAGACAACAAGAGTCAAGCTCATCCCTCCTAGTTCTCAAAAGAGCAACTTCACCATTGCCAGTTCTTAGCATGATGCCTCGATACCATTCTGGGTTCTGACAATGCAGGATAAATTGTTGGCATCTAATAATGTGTAGTTTTCAAACTGACAAATTAGAGGTTTTAAACAGCCTGATTAGACTAAGTAGCATCTTTAAGATCTAAAAGGATGTGGAAATGATAGTGGATGGTACAGCAGCTGCAGAAAACTACACCCTGATTCTGGAGCTCTTTGTAGGTTCTCAGTAACCCGCTTGTTCAGTAAATAGCTGTTCCTAGAAACCAGAGCAGGAGGGAAGAAAAGAAGGCAGGCCCTTAATCACTTGGCAGGAAGATTTACAGGGAATTGTAGCAGAGATACAGGCTTTAAACAGTTGTAAATCTAATGTGTAGGGACAGCTTCTTAGGAGAGGGGAGTATGAGTATTGAAGATAAACAGAGATGGTTATGTGCTGACATCAGATGCAGAATGCCTGGGAACCAGGAGACAGGGAAGGGAGAAGCTATGACCATTATTACTGTTTACTGGGTACCAGTTACACCTGCTATAAAAGACATCCATTGTGCCTGCTGGGCATGCAGTCCTAATAAGGACACCCTAGGGACTTCCCTGGTGATCCAGCAGTTAAGACTCCACACTCCCAATACAGAGATCCTGGGTTTGATCCCTGATCAGGGAATTAGATCCTACATAACACAACTAAGACCTGGAGCAACCAAATAAATAAAAATAGATAACTATCTTTAAAAAAGAGCACCCTAATTTCCTGAGGACAACCTCTTTCCTGCTCACAGTCTATAGCTTAAGAGGAATGGACTCCACCCACCAGAACATATGACCCAGGTCAGGCCAACCAGCACCCAGTATCTCTTGGCTAATGACATTGACTGGATAATGGGTTGTGTCTCACACAAAACCAGTGAGACTTTTCCTGGTAGAGTTGCCAAAAGAGATAGGATGGGAATCTGTAAATCTACTTATACCGATGGAGGAAAAAAGCCTACCTGAGAATGGCACCAATATGGAATAAACCTGAGAGCTGGAGAGAATGAGGTGACATCCAATGACATCATTTGATCCCCGGGCTAAAGCCCGGAGCCAGCCAAGCACTGTACTTTCCAATATGAGACAACCAATTCTCTTTTTAATTGGGGGATAGCTGGCAAAGGCTAATAGAGTTTTGCCGAGAGAATGCACTGGTCATAGCAAACACCCTCTTCCAACAACACAAGAGAAGACTCTACACATGGACATCACCAGATGACCAACATCAAAATCAGATTGATTATATTCTTTGCAGCCAAAGATAGAGAAGCTCTACACAGTCAGCAAGAACAAGACTGGGAGCTGACTGTGGCTCAGAACTCCTTATTGCCAAATTCAGACTTAAATTGAAGAAAGTGGGGAAAACCACTGGACCATTTAGGTATGACCTAAATCAAATCCCTTATGATTATACCGTGGGAAGTGAGAAATATATTTAAGGGACTAGATCTGATAGAGTGCCTGATGAACTATGAACAGAGGTTCGTGACATTGAACAGGAGACAGGAAGCAAGACCATCCCCAAGAAAAAGAAATGCAAAACAGCAAAATGGCTGTCTGAGGAGGCCTTACAAATAGCTGTGAAAAGAAGAGAAGCCAAAAGGAAAGATATACCCATTTGAATACAGAGTTCTAAAGAAAGCAAGGAGAGACAAGAAAGCCTTCCTCAGTGATCAGTGCAAAGAAATAGAGGAAAACAATAGAATGGGAAAGACTAGAGATCTCTTCAAGAAAATTAGAGATACCAAGGGAACATTTCATGCAAAGATG